AGGGAAATTCTTAGCATAACAAGGGAGGTGAGTGTTTGGTTCAAGTGGGTAAGGAGATCAGCAAATGGTTTTGCTGACGCCCTAACAAAACAAGGGACTGTAAGGGAGAGTCTTTATTGGGCAGTGCTGTAATGTTTGATGTTTATTGGATCAACCTTTTCTGATAAGGGTTGAATTCTGTATTTCAGTTTAATTTATCTCTAATGAGAGTTATCGTTTCTGATCAAATAAAAAAAAAATCCACACATTCACTTTCCACTAAACTGCATCTAAAATTTTCCTTACTTCGACAAAAGCCCATTTGGGTTGGTCCCACCACATGATGCAACACCATTAAATGTTTGTGGATTGATAGGCATGCAGGCATCATTCTGTAATCTTTTTTTGATGAATAATGAGTGAATTTTTTAATAGTTTGACATCATTCTGTAATCTTCCTTACGGAGTGATTTAAAAGGGCACCACAAGATGCTTGCATTCCTTTTACCCTATATGGTCCAGAAAATTGCTAAAGGTAACTTATTGGACACAGCCCTATCCCTTTGCTCAGTCCTGCAGATAGCTAGATACTACCATCCATAGAAGTTCTCTCCTGGGAAGCACCCTTTTACCAGAAAAAAATGAAAGTAAAAAAAGAGGAGCTATAGAAGTTGTTATACCTAGAGGATTAATGCCTATGGAAATAAAGGGAGAAACCTAAGTTTATGACTCTTATATGTGAATTTGGAAGATATTTCTCCCTTTTGTTGTCATAGACATTGTTCTTATTGACATAAACAACATCTATGGTTCATCTACTTTTTTCACTTTTTACCCATTTGTGAGAAGTAGGAAAATCTTGGGCTGACAAGCATGTGAATGCAGGTTCAATTCCGAGGGCAGCCACTTTGTGCAAAATATGTCATGGTTAGTTTTGTATCCAGTCCATCCCTCCCATGATCCTGGATTCTGGGATCAACACTGGATAATGATCCTTGTCTTGGCAACAAGAAGATAATAATCGATCATGAAAAAGGGAGACTATCCACTTTCTTAGTATCTTTTGTAGATCAATCAATATTAGAATCGTTTAAACAATTATGCTTGAAGGCTAAGTTTTTGAACTTCAAGGGCATCTTGGTTTAAGGGGGCTGACATGTTGTCTTAGGATGGCTAAAGAAGGATGAAGCAGGATCACGGAGATATAGGTGCATAATGAGTGAAAATCAGAAAGCTAGCAGAAGAGTTGAGAATGGCATACAATTGGATTCCTAGTTCAGCAAATTCTATAGCGGATTGGCTAGCCAAACAAGGGGTAAATCAGAGAGATTTGTATTGTGGAATAGTAAATTAGGGGTAACTTCTTTCTCATGTACAGGCTTATGTAAGAAGGCTAGTCGAGGTTAGCTATCTTAGTGGGTGCAAGATTTCCGGTGTATATATTTTTGAAAGGTATATTTTTCTGATGTATATATAACAGTTACTGATGAAAAGAGGCTATTTTGTGGTTTGGGCCTTCATAATCCTTGATCTTTTCTCCCCATTCATTGTTTTAACTGTTCTATTTATGCAAACTTTTCAGTGCTACTTTCTTTTGATATGTTTTCTTGACTCTTGTTATAGTTCTTCTGGGTTTTGCTTATCAAAAAAGAAAAAAAAAGAAACAGATAGAAGAATCAACCTTCCAGGTTATGCCTTTTGTTTCTGTTGTTATCTTTTCTAAATATTGCTAAATCAGTTTAGTTTTCTTCGTCATGACTTCAGATGGAACAACAAATTTTGCACATGGCTATCCGAGTTTTGCAGTATCAGTAGGAGTTTTATTTCGAGGAAAGCCAGCTGCTGCTGCTGTGGTAATTAGTCTTTCCTGATGTAACTTGTTTTTTCATCATTTCATTGTTTCTTGTTTTTTTTTTTTTTATGTTCCAATACATGATAAAAGAAGGAAAATATGTAACTTATGATTTTTATTCCAGAAAACTCAAATATTGTTTCCTCCAATATTTTAAAAGTTATTCTTCAGGTGCACCAGGCTCATAGTTACAAGTAAGGTTCACTGTGCTGAGTGCACCTCACCTGGGTCACACCCAAACCTAGGTGTATCTGACCTAGCTTATTGCCATGATTTGTTTAATTAACCTTGAATTTGACATAGCTAATTTACTATCATATAGGTCACAATATTATTTTTAGAATTTATAGGTGTAGCATATGTAGCACATGATTCTATGAGCTAAAACCTTCATTTGGGTAACATGATGCCCAAATCAATTCAGCCAACAAGATCTTATTTCTTTCAAAATTTCGATTTGCATATTTTTATATATTAAGCTTTTTGTTTATTTAGGGGCCGTTTGGCAAGCCAAATGGGGCCTTAGATTTTTTAGAGTGGCACCTCACTTCATTCAGTTGTGGCCTTCATGCCTTGTGCCTTGGTCTCTAGGAATCTCTTGTCCTTTAATTGCTAATCTCCCTTTAGAATACTGGGTTCCTCTATTACTGTAATTAAAAAATGAGGTGGACCAAATGGCATATACATTAGATTTTATCAGATTAAATTCAACAATTTCCAACTCCATGTCTTGAATGGCCCAGGTGTTTTCTTATATTTTATTAGCCAACAAAAATTCTTTGCTTTCCTCTCCAAAACTAACTAGCCTAAATGTTCATTCAATCAATTCAAACTGTTAAAACTTGCTAAACCACAGCCAATTGCATTCTTTTCCCTTAATTCTTCTTCTGAATTATCAGGGTCTTTCTCTTGGATTTCGAGGCAAATACAGTGTATTTGAGGGGGAGTGTCCCCAAGGCAAAGTTACAACATTGTGTAAGCAAGCTGGGCATGACTAATATCTATGTCAGCTTGAGGGGGAGTGTAGAGATAATGGCCTTAATTTCTTTGTTTTTCTTTAAGTTATGTTTATGACTTGTGTTAGTAGGTAGCATGGTTTAAAATGTCCCTAATTTCCCTAATATTTCCACGACATATTTCCATTTCCATGGGTAGTGACACAAAATTTTACCCGAATCGACATTTCCCCAATGAACACTACCAACACTATGTGGAGTACAACAAATAGTTTCCACAACATATTTCCATTTCCA